CTTGAATTCTTAAGGAAATATACTGATGACTTTACTCTTCGGTTATACTTTCCTTTTGGGTGTTTAAGACCATACAGTTGGCCCAAATAAATCAATTTATATTGACAGTTAAGGTTGTTTGAGGATCTGTTCCTCAGGGGTAACATGGGCTTGGGAGGAGCCCCTGGCTCCTTTCTTTTACCAGTTCCATCTATGTGAAGATAAGTCAAAGGTCCTACTCGACCACGTCTGGCTTCATTTGGAAGCATGAATGAGATGTTTCCTCTGAGTTGATGCTTCTCTTTGTAGACTGGACACTGGTTCAAGTTCATCTTGTGGGGTCTCCATGTCCTCCCTGAACAAGAGGGCAGGTGACTCACCACAGTTACAGGACATTTTGAGAGATGTTCCATAGTCCCCTGGAACTTAGTTGACCTTGGAGGGCAAGGGGCAAAAACTTTCCTTTAACTCCCTCTGAAGGTCAGGAACTTTAATCTCTCTTGTTCTTTGCTGCCTATAGCATCTGGGACATGGCCAGACCTGTATTACATGTTCAACAAATATTTGTTGAATGAATAAATCCTTTAATCTATACTTTTCCAAACTCTTTACTTAGTTCTGAGCTTGGTTAGGGACGAACAATGTTTATTTCTGTTCAATTCAAGCTTTTATTTTCATCTTTAATAATACATATATGTATGTGTCTATTTGTGGGTTTGTAGTTGCAGTGCCTGTGGAATTTAGAAGAGGGTATGTTAGATTTTTGGAGACTAAAAGGAAAGACGGAGGAGTAGGAGACAAGAAACTAGAGCCAAACCTGCAGCAGGCCAAGAATATAGCTTCCTTTATTCAAAGAAGACACAGTGAGAGGTAGAGGGTACCACATGACCAAGCATCTACAATGTGACAAAGAAACTAGGGGTTTTTATAAGAAAAGTTGTGAGACACAGCTGCACTATGTAGGGAGTTGAATTAGTGCCTGGGTCTGGTGTCCTGGGTGATTGAGGGTCTTTCTTCCTAAGATTATTTCCTCAGACTTGGTAGGCGTGTTATCTATCTATGAGCCTAGAGGAGACAGGTGGGCTCCAAAACAGTCTCTCTCAGTCCCAGGAGTGACCAACTGGTAAGGCTTGAGCAAGGCCAAACTGCCAATCTATAGCAGCTTGGTCACTTGGGGAACTTTATGTTTTATAATTTAAAGCCATTTGGCCACTCTAATGATTTTATGCCCGTATGGCCTCCTCTAATGAAGCTTAAGGCTTTCCTAAGGTTCACACACTCTATCCTTGGTGCAGGTCACCCGGGGTTAGAGTTACAGAAGGCTGTTAGCTGCAGTGTGGGTGCTTGAAATCAAACTTAGGTGCTATGCAAGAACAGTATGTGCTCTCAACTACTGAGCCATGTCTCCTGTTTATTTCCTTTTCACAAAACTACAACAGTAATCATTAACTTTTAGACAAGCTTATTTAAAGCTTTTACTACAATAACAATGCCAATTTATTAATTTTTATGTGCCATTAGCCTCTAAATGTTGAGCTAAGGTAAGTAATTTTTTATTCTAGTTTAGAGGCAGTCAGTCTAAGATCATTTCAGACCACGAGAATATAGAATACGTATCATATATTTAGATATCTAAATGACCAAGAATCTCTGCTGGTATTAAAATACATTTTTTTCCTAAGAATGAATTATATGAAAAATATCTGACTACAATAGCTTTATAACAAAGATTAATTCACTGTGAATTTTAATGAACTGCTGCCTATTTTAATTGTTGAAAATACATTTAACTTCCTAATTATTCAAATTTTGCTGATTATTATACACTATTCTACTAAAATTTCCTTGAGGGAAAAAAATTTCAGGCTGTTCATGAAATAAGTAACTGAAACTTACATTTATTCCATCTTTTTTTTAATTTAATAGAGTTGGGGTTTTGTTTGTTTTGTTTTTTCGGTCTTTTTAGAAACAGGGTTTCCCTGTAGCCCCAGCTGGTCTGGAACTGGCTGTATAGACCAGGCTGGCCTTGAACTCACAGAGATCCACCTGCCTCTGCCTCCCAAGTGCTGGGATTAAAGGTGTGCATCACCACACCGGGCTTGGGACTTTTCTTTTATGTTGTCTTTGTTTTGTTTTGTCTTGAGACAGGGTCTCACTACACAGCCTAGACTGGCCTTGAACTCTCAATCCTTCTGCCTCAGCTTCCCAGGTAGTAGGATTACAGGTATGCACCACCATCCTAGCTTTGAGTTATTATTCTAATAGTATTGATGCATAAAATGGAAGAATTCAGAAAAAGCCAGCCATTTATTATATAGTGAATTCTATAGTTTATTATATAATGAAATTCTTCCTAGAAAAGTCAGGACCCAAAACACAGGGGCAGAAGAGAGGAGTTGTAGGCTGAGACACACACCTGCTGTGACGATGACTGCAGTTTTGATGCCTTTGTCTTCATTTTGCAAGTCCTGGAGGAACGAGCCTACTGTTGACAACATTGGCTCGACAGCAAACTGACAGCGCTCGTTCCTGGATGGCAGAGTAAGTGTTATCAAGGGACGGCCATGTCTACAACTAACTGTTATTTCTGTTAAGACAAAAAAATAGTAAAATATGAATTTATAAGGTATATTTTTAAACCTTAAAATATAAGTTATGCATTTTTTATTGAGAAATTCACTCATGCATATGTTTTGATCAAATCCACTCTCCAGTCTCTCCTCTCCAATTTCTTCCCTATCCCCCACCACTTCTCCCTCCCAACTTCCTCTCTCTCTCTCTCTCTCTCTCTCTCTCTCTCTCTCTTCCTCCCCCCCACTCCCCTCCCCCCCCTCCCGCCCTCTCTCTCTCTCTCTCTCTCTCTCTCTCTCTCTCTGAACCCACTGAGTCCTCTTAGTGCTGCTTGCATGTGCATGGGGGTGGGGCCATCAACTGGAGCACAGGCACCTCTCAGGGACCACATCCCTGACAATAACTGACTCCCTCCCTTCAGAGATCATCAGTTGCCAATAGCTTCTCAACTAGGGGTGGAACTTCACGAGCTCCTCCCCCATCTATGCTGTGATTTTGTCTAGCTTGATCTTGTGCAGGGCTTGTGCATGCAGTCACAGCCACTGTGTACAACAGCCCTGTCCCGTCCAGGTGTCTGTTACTGGCTTTCCACCCCTCTTCTGCAGTGATCCCCAAGCCTTGGGGAGAGTGGGCACAATATAGGTGTCCCATTTGGAACTGGGCACTCCACAGTCTCTTATTCTCTGCATGCTGGCCAGCTGTGGGACTCTGTGTTAATCACTTCCTATTGCAGAAGGAAGCGTCTCTGAGGGCCGAGAGATGCACTAATCTATGGATGTAAAGATAAAAATTTGGGTGGAAGTTTAATACTATGTTTATTTAGCATGATAGTAGTACTAGGTTCTTCTCTAGGGCCTATGACCTAGTCAGTCTTGGGGTTTGGGCTCAGTTCATGGTACCAGGCAAGAGTTCTGTGCTATGGAGCAGACTTTAAATCCACTCAGAAGTGGTTAGCTGCTCCCATACCATTCCTGCCCCTGTTGTACCAATGGGTCAATCTTGCCGGGCCAGTGGTTAGTGTAGCCTGAGGGTTCACAGTTGGGTAAGATTGATGGATATTTTTCTCATCCAGGAAAATAAATAGAACATTCTGGGGCTAGCCAGTAGAGATGAAACTTCCAGGTAGGTACCAGTTTGATTTCTCCATGTTTTATGACTCAGCTATGTAGTTTGTTCACTAATAGTGTTTTATCATCAAGTTCTGGAGAGTAACCAAGAGCAATACTAATGGTCTGTAATTTTGGGGTGGATCTTGGAACCCCACTGACCAATACCTCTGAAAGAGGCAACCCATTCCTGGAACTCAGCTTTTATTTGACAGCCTGTGGTGTCTGGGAGAGGCACTGTCCCCCTGTTATAGAGTAACTCAAAGGAAAGCTTTTGCTTACACGTGGAGTTCATAAATCTCTGAATTCCTATAAAAATGGGAATTGCTCATATGTTATATGCATTATGCTACAGTTTACACAGGTCCTACCATTCCATAAGATGTTATTTATTATAGCTTAGTCTACAGTACATTATAATGATCTGCTCAACATCTTTACAGGTAAAAAATTAAGGTCCTGAGGCTAGAAACCAGCTCGCCTTTATCTTACTCATCTTTAGCTCCTCTGATTACTGGGCAGTTTGTCAAAAGACATTACTGAAGATGGCACTAAGAGAGAGGAACTGAGCACAGCCCGTAGGTGAAATGGATTAGTGTGAGCAGTCTGTTTCGCTCATAGCTCTCAGCTCCCACTCTATTTGGAAGAACAGAAATCAATGAGCACATAAATCAAAGACATGACAAGAAAACTTACCATCAGGTGGCCTCACTGTCCCATGAAAGTGTGCTTGGTAGTATTTTGGAATTCCACACAGCTTCATACACAATGCCTGTAAGAAAGAGTGTCTGTTCTTTAAAAAATACAGAAGGGTCTTTGTAACCTATGACACGCACAGTGGAAACGTTAACTTCCCATGTACACCCTACATATGCCTGTGGGTCACTGGCTAGTTTCTGAATCACTAACCTTAATAAAAACAGCACAAGGAAGAAAGGATTTGTTTTGGCACCTAATTTTTAAAAATATTTTATTATTTTTATTTATGTGTATGCGTGCATTGCCGGCATGTAGGTAAGTGCACCCGTGTCATGCAATGCCTGTGGAGGACAAAAGAGGCTGTCAGATCCCCTGGAACTGGAGTTACGGACAGCTGTAAGCTGCCATGTGGGTACTGGGATTCGAATCCGGGTCAGTGTTCTTAACCGCTGAGCCATCTCTCCAGCCCCTGACTCCTAATTTTAGGCGTATAAGTCTATCATGATAGAGCAAACGTGGTGAAAACAGAGCAGTGCACAGCACAGTGGCCAGGAATTAGAGAAAGGGTAATATAGGGCGAGTCAGTGACAAGCTGTAGCCCCAGGAATACACCCTCAATGGCATACTTCCTGCAGCTAGGTCCTACGGCTTACCTTTTCCCAATTCCCAAGAGTGCCATGCTATGATGGCTTCATCAGGAATTATGCTCTAATCATCTCAGGGAATGCTATCACAGACACAGCCAGCAGTGTGTCTCGCTAATCTCCAAAGCATTCCTTAATCCAGCCATCAAAGCAGGCAAGACATTAGAGCAAACACACACTCCTGGCCACAAGCTTGCCCACTACTGCTTATCCCATTGTTGCTGGGACAGGGTTTTCGGGGATGTGAAGACTCCCGAAAACCTTAGACCTCATTTAAATTCATTTTCGCCTTTTTAGACAATAACCTAAAATCAAATGGATGTGAGTATACATATTCCAGATACTTCTCAAGGTATAGGGCCAGATCAATGCCTCAGCATGTCCTTGGAGCTAATTAGAAATGGTGAATGTCAACTCAGCCCAGACTTACTGGGTTAGAATCTGTGCTTCAACAAGATCCCGGGTATTGAGCGTGCATACTGGCCTCATAGTAGTCATTCTTTTAGATCTCTGCAGTCCAATATTGGAGCTAATTAACCTTAACATAAAATTTCAGTTCCTTAATAACCTTTGCTGCCTTTCAAGTGTTTGTTAGCTCTGCATACCCCCTGGCTCTTCGGCTAGCACAGGAATAGATCAGAGTGCTTCCTGTACCACAGAAGTGCCAAAGGTCTACAACAGCTGAAGGGTTGCTTTACAGTTAAGGCTGACATTGCTGTTTGTGTTTACGGTTGTATTGGGGCTTAGTGAAGGTCAAATATATCAACGATACACTGTGAACACTGTGGTGCTAGGAAAGGTACAACAGAATTGGTTCCTAGGCCTTGAGGGCTCAAAATAACAGGTAAGAATCAGCACCACTCCCAACAGGTGGTTGCTTCCTATTGATCGCCCCTCGTTTATTCTTCTTTGCAGTGCATTGCCTCCCAGTCATTTGCAGTTAGTGAGAATGCAATGAAATCTTCTTTTATAAATTGCATTTTTATAAATTTCAGGATCTGGGGCTGGAAAGATGACTCAGCAGTTAAGAGCACTGACTGCTCTTGAAAAAGACCTGGGTTCAAATCCTAGCACCCACATGGCAGCTAACAACAGTCTGTAACTCCAGCTCCAGGGGATCCAGCACCTTCTTCTGGCCTCTGTGGGCATAGGATGATATGGGTGCACTTACATACATGCAGGCAGTATACTCATACACATTAAATAAATTATATATATATATATATATAAAATTTCAGGATCTGAGGGTTCACTATATCAGTGGTCAAAAGTTTATCCTTTGTAGCCAGGCGTGGTGGTGT